AATTTGGACGAAAACAATTCAAATTAAATTTAAGGGGGAAAAAATGATGTTTAAGCGGGAAATGAAATATTTATTCAAACATTTTTCCTTCTCCATATTATATAGTAATAGATTACTTTGGGATTGAACATTTACGAAAGTTCTAGTATATCCCGTTTACGGGCACCTTAGCAGAGAATTAAGACCCAAAGTGAAGTTCAAGTTAGTTAACAAAGCCTATGTACTTAACAATGTTTATGGGCTGTGGATTTTCAGGCCCATAATTTAGAATAGCTAATGGTGATCTCTTTATGTCTCTTTGTTCTATGGAGAGAGATTAGGGCTGTAAACGATTCGAGTCGAGTCGAGTCGAGTATTGATCTTATTGAGCATGATTAATTTTTTTTTATTTGCTCGAGCTCAAGCTCGACTCGAAATCAAAATGCTCGAGTTCGGCTCGAGTTCCAGTTGAAAATTTTTAAGTGGAAAAGTAAAATTACCATTAAGCACCTATACTAATATATATGGGGGGTATTTTAGTAATTTAACATATATTTCGAGCCGCTCAACGTGCGACAATTCAAAATATGGGCTCAAGCTGGACTCGAGTTCGTGCTCGAGCTGCTCAAGCTCGACTTGAGTTCGGTCAAACTCGAGCTCGAGTCGAGCGCTCACAAACAACTCAGTTCGTTTGCAGCCTTAGGAGAGACTGATGTTAATATTATTAGGGAAAATATTCTATCTCCAGACCTCAAGTTTACTTATTTGTGCTTTTGGTATTTCAAAGCCACAAAAAATTGCGAGATTGTGGATTATAAAAGAATGATGAANTAAAAAAAAAAAAAAAAAAGCTTTCACCCATTAATTTTGGAGATGTCGAAAAAACTACTGTTAAAGTTTCAAAGCCGCCGACACCCGAAAGTCTAGAAACTTGATTATCGATTTGTAGTGATAAGGAGTTTCAATTAACGAAGATAATAGTGAATTTTTCCTGAAAATAACTTTCTAAATATATTTATTTCATGAAAATCTGGTGATGGATCTCCTCTAAAATTTGGGCAAACTTCAAAGCGAATTTTAATGAAAAAGTATTGGACCGAAACTAACCAACGGACGAAATGTGTCTACCAAATTAATTAAATTGATAAAGTAGTATAAACGAGAAACACGTAAAGTTTGGGTACCGGGTAAGAATTTTTCCCTTATTGTATATTATATGTTGGAACACTCCAAGTAGCTAGACTTAGTGCTGAGCATGGGACACGGAGAAATTTTGAACCGTTTCAAAAATCGAACCGAAAAATATCCATTGATCATTTGACTTTCTCCGAACTGAACCGAACTAAAAAAATAATTGGTACGGTTCTGGAGATTTCATAAATATCCGTACCGAGAACCGAACCGAACCGTCTCGTACCATATCGAACCGTCTCGTACCGTACCGAACCGAAGAACCGAATTATAAAAATAGATGCGTGTTATCAATATATTTTCTGTCAACTTTAATCCTATATAATTTGAAATTTTTTAAAATGAAAATAAAATATAGTAATTACAATTAAGATTCACTTAAATTTCATGTTTAGTAATACTTGATCTACAATTGAATTTCTCGTGTTTAAAAAAAATTAAAATGTAATGAAAGATTAAAGATTTAAAAAAAAAATATTTAAGTTTTACTTAAAATTGTCGATACTTAGCCGTAGTTTATCTTATAACTAACATGATATGGTAGGTTAAATAAATATTACTTTAATATAAAACTGTATTATATTTTGTTTGAATTTTAAATTTTCAATATTAGTTGAATTTAATCCTAACTAAAATTTAGAGTTACTTCTAAAGTTGATTTAAAAGTAAAATCTTTAGTATGATGAAGTATTGATGAATGTTAGATTTTTTTTTAAAAAAATATATAAAAAATAAAATATAACTAGGTGGTCATTAAAAAAATTAAAAAATGATAAGAAATCTATGAATATCCGAACCGAACCAAACCGAACTGAAACGTTCTGATAGTCCCGGAAACCGAACTGAATCGAACCGAACCGAACCAAAAAATAAAAATCTCCAAACCGGACCGAACCGATTTTTTTGGTACGGTTCTGGAGATGGAATTTTAGTGATCTCCGAACTTCGGTACGGTTCAAGAGATTTATCATTCTCCGAACCATACCCACCCATGCTCACCCCTTAGACTCTTTACTTGGGATGTTAAATCCTTATTTTAATTACCAAGTGAAACCCGTTCCACCGGGATGCTAGATACAAAGTATTATCATTGCGGTCCCACAACCGTAAAGCGCCCAAAATCAGTTAGTGAGAGGAGGAGTAATCTACTGGCTTTATAAGTTGGGTCTATTTTCTCTATATAAATGATGTAGAATAACTCACAAGTGATATTCTAATAATTACATTCCTTAAGGGTATGTAAATATTTTTAAATCCTGTTCCACCGAAATGTTAGAAAAATCAGTTATAAAACTTGGGTTTGACCCGGTTTTGACTAATTTTTTTATGGCTAAATAATTAGTTCGGGTTGAATTAAATTGTGGAGAAAAATTCTACGTTCCGAATAGATACTTGTGGTATATTTATTTTCTCAAAAACTGATTTTTAGTGAGTTGGAAATAAATACTTAAAGTTAACATAAATGAGCACGTAACACGAGGGTTGTGGGATTCGAAGGGTCAAGAGTCATTCCCACATTGGATTCTTAAATGAGATTAACTCTCTTTATTATATTACAGAAAGTTGGAGAGGTCACAACAACAACAAAGTTATGTACCAAGTGTTGGTGTTGGCTTTGGCCACACGTGCGTGCGCGGCCGCACGCCGACCGGTCAGTCGGCTCGACTCGAGTTCGAACTCGGGCGTGGGCCTTGGTCCTTGGTCCTTGGCAATTGGACTGTGGGCTGGACTTGGGCAGTCTGGGCCGGTGTAGGGCTTGAGCCTTAGGCCCAACCACTAGATATCTTTTTGGTGCAAATTTATTTGCAATTCTAAAGCCCAAGATAAAATTCAAATTGAGTGGGTTTGGATTCGGGTTATGACCTACCAGTGTGAGAACATCCATGTACATTGAACCTGGACGTGTGACCTTTCACATGTCCACCACCTGACTATTTCAGAAGTTACTGGTGGAATGAAGGTGAGTTAATCACCTGAACGTTTTACCCATTTATCAGGTGGGTTGAAGGTGGCTGTTAATGGCTGGGTTGTTACAAGTTGAACACCAAAGGTCTCCCACTTGTGCTGGATGTCCTATAAATAGAACATAAAGTTGAAGTGAAGATACACTGATCATATCACTACATTCTGAACTCTCTCACAGCCTCACGCATACATATATTGCTCAGTTCTCGGCTATGTTCTTATTCGCTAGAACTCTGAAGACTAGTGTGCTACAGTTTCCGAGTGAATAGCCGTTGTATCTTTGGGGACATTACACACAGGCCCGTCAGCACTACACGGGGCGCATTTGTCTTGCTGAAAGATTTCAATCGTCTCGGCTTTAATCTGTCCGCATTCCAGTTATATTTTACATTTCTTGTTTAGTTCATATTGTAAGAAATGAATTTTTCAGTCAGTTTATAGGTTCCCGTGTAATCGAGAAACATATTTTATAACACTGAGACACTAATTTCAAAATATTATTATATTCATTAAGGTTATGTAAATATTTTAGCAGGATTATTCTCTTATATAATCCTACATGTAGTATAACACACTTGTATACTTCATTCTCACTGATCAACATAAAAAATTAATTAAATCTATAAATTTGAATTTATCATGTGATCAATCATTTGGATTGACCAACTGCGACCTAAACGAGGTCTAATGATGGCGTAATAAATAATATATATATGGACAAAATTTGTAGGATCATGTACACTATATAAATTAATCGTACACAAATTTGTTACATCTTATTTTGGTACATAGTTTGGTACCGACCCATTTGTTTACCAAAGAGAGAGTATTTGTTAGAAAGTTGTTTGATGAACAAAAGCACATGTTAAACTCTGACATTCAATATTCAAAAGGTACTTTGAAACAAAGGCACTTTGAATGAATGAAAGAGAGAAAACTGAAATTCATTACTTGTCCGTTCTCCTCATATCTTTGTGGCCTCTTCTCTCTTGTTACCTTAGCATTCTCAATTCAAAAGAGAAATAATAGGAGAATTGGTGTCAACGGAGTTGATGAAATTTAAAGTGGATGTTGAAGAAAACATTGGTCTATTCTAGTTTTATTAATTTTGAAATCATAAACCAAGATATGAACGAGCTCCCTTGTCGTTTAACCATGGAGTATTGTCATTTGTTGTACATGGTAATTTGAGTTTGGTCGTACCTCATGTTGAACGAGCCCTCCCTTCTTGTTGAGAGAGTTCCACTTGGTCATATTGTACTTCAACTAATTGACCAACATCCATAACACGATTGGTTCATTTGAGGATCTCGAGTTTGATTTTTCCATCTGGAGGGAAACTTTTGCTTAAATCATCTCTAATGAACTCTAGTTTGATCAGTTGATGTTGAGACTCGAGCACAAGATTGGTCAACAAATTGACCAAAGCTACGACGAATTCTTCTTCAACTCTCTTTCAATGTCTTTTAAACAGTTGCCCAATCATCCATCTCTACATTCTTTCTTGAAGAAGACAACATGAATTTGGGAATTGATAATATGTCCAATTGAGTATAACTTCATTACCAAATTGCAATTTCAAAATGATAGAGTTAGAATTGTCTTTAGAATATTTTTAAATACTAGTAGCCATGGAAAATGATGTTTTAATAACAAATAATGTTGATGTAACAACTTACAATTTTTCTAATAAACAATTATTTTTCAATATATATGCCATAGATTTGACAATGAAACCTCTTATTTTATAGTAGTCCTCTACTAAATAAACATTATTGCCCAATAAAATGTAGAAGAAAAATTCATAAATCCTTGTACTCCAAATCATCTTTCAAAGTGTCACTTTCTTACATATCCCTCACACACACACACACACACACAAAAGTATGCAACCACCATTCACTTCATAGTTCCCTTGTCAGTTCTCTCTCTCCCCCCTCTCTCTCTCTTTCATCCTCAAAAATCCTCTGCAACTACTCCACTCATCTCTCATCAAAACCTCCCATCAAGCCACATCTTTCTCTTTCTCTCTCTCCTCAAAACTCACCTCAAGAACACAAATCTCTCTCCTCCCACACAAACCCTAGCAAAAAGAAAGTAGAACAAGAGCAATAAGAAAAAAAAACCCAAAGATCAAATTAAACAATTCACCAAGAAAAACCGTCAAATACTATTTATGGAGCTTTTCCCCGCACAACCGGACCTCTCCTTACAGATCAGCCCGCCAACCGGAAAGCCCACGTCGGCCGCCACGTGGCGGTCATCAAGACCACCGCCCAACGACGACGACCACGGCATGAATCCCACCGACATCTGGAAAAGGGCAGCCCTCCACTCGTCGGCCCACCACGGCCCGTCATCGAGGGTTTCATCCGCGGGGCCCACTAACGAGATCGTAAGCCAGCAGCTGAGCCTGCTGAGGCCCATCAGGGGCGTCCCAATCTACCAAACCCATGTCCAGCCCAATTTCCAGTACGCTCATCATCGTGGGCTGGGCCTGGAGGCTGCGGCGGCGGCCCAAATGCAGGGAGGCTACGGGTCCCATCATCAGGGGATGGTTCGGTCGAGGTTCCTGTCGAGGTTCCCGGTCAAGAGGAGCATGAGGGCCCCACGGATGAGGTGGACCACGACCCTTCACGCGCGTTTTGTCCACGCGGTTGAGCTATTGGGCGGCCATGAAAGTACGCTATTTTTTTTAGTTGAATTTTTAACCGAGGATTTCAGGTTTTTTTTGGTGGTGAGCGTAATTAGGGAAATCGCTAATTCTCATACCCAGTAATAATATTCGCAATTGCACAAGATGTCCACTAATTACTAATCAAATTTCGAACATTCTTCCCAAATATATGTGAGTTAATGAACATTTTTTGCAATTAGATTAGTGGATAGTTTTTCTGCTTGATTTTTTGCATTTTTTTTTGCATTATGCTCGATTTTTATTAGATTAGTAAGTATTTTTTGTCATCACAAAATTAGTTATTGGTTGATATCATTGTTTACCTTAAGTTACTTGCTATATATTACTAAATTTAGCGTAATAAAAAATATGCTAGGTCTGTGTATGTTTTTATGATTTTAATTGTGCTATTGTTTGAGCTAATTGTGGGAAATTAATTATGTGGTATGATTATAGAGGTCAATTTTGTTTGTTTGTGTTTGTATATGACTAATAATATGGTGTGCATTCATATATATATATATATGTGTGTGTGTGTGTGTGTGTGTGTGTGTAATAGGAGCTACTCCTAAGTCTGTTCTTGAGCTCATGGATGTCAAAGATCTCACACTAGCTCATGTGAAGTCCCATTTACAGGTAAATTATTGGACTCCTCTTTGATTAATTAATTAATTGTGTTTGACTATTTTCCAATATAAATTTATTCTGATTTTCTAGTTTCTCCTGGACAGAATGTGTCTTCAAGAGATTTTCATCACTTTTTTTTCTTTTTCATTTTTCATTTCATGAAAATCCAATTGACTTTTTCCTAGCTGAATAATCAACTAGTTTTTGAGTTTACTCAGTATGTCAAAAACTAGTAGCAATTAATGTTTGCCCATTATTTTCATATACCCAATGAAAATAGAGAGAAAGTACAGAAAACACCATCATGACACAATGATATCTGCAGGTCCTTGGTTTAATAAACCACATTTGACAAACCATGGTTAAACCTTGAAAAGATAAGACACATGTTACATGTGCATGTATCATGTATGTGTTGTTTACATACATGCAAAGGGTTCAGCTTTGTCAATTACTGAAATTTACTAGAAATTACTTTCCTATACAAGTTTTTCAGAAATAGCATTTTTTTTTTTTAAATTTTCTATAGCTTATTCTGTTTAATTTCTCATTTAAATTATGTTCTTTTATGTTTTCACAAATATGATTAATTGCTTATTTTTTCGGGCAGATGTATCGAACGGTGAAATCGACTGATAGGGCTGCTGCTACTTCAGGTTCAATGGACAAAATATTAATATTTATTGTGTTTATATGTTGTTTTAAGAAATATTGCTAGGCAATTATACATTATTTTTTATGTAAATTTTTGTTTTTATTTTTATTAATTTTTTGGTATATTTTATTAGGACAATCTGATGTGCTGGAAAATGGGTCTTCTGGAGATACCTCAGATGATTTTCTATTCGACATTCAAAATTTACATAAATCTGAAGCATCTTCCAAACAAGGAAGACAAAATATTATGAATAATATTGATAAGGATTACAATGGTCCATGGAGCAAATCTTCAAGGTAATTATCAGTATTTATTCATGTAATTATTATGGTAAGTCATGAAGTATAGTGTTGGGCAGCAAAATTCATCTGTCTAAAAAGGAAATATATAAAAATTATTACTAATAACTTTATGCAGATATATTCTCTGTCTTTTGTCAAAAATTTGAAAAATTCAATCTAGTAGATGTCAATTTTGTCCATTGACTTTTGTGCATGTAAAAAATGTCAATTTTTATTTGATATTTTCTAAAAATTAGAAAAATTACTAAACAAAATTGGTTATCTACCCAAAGTGAGTGAGTATATTTTATAATTTTGACTTTTATTGCTGCAAGATAATAGGACACACAGAAAATACACATTACTTATAAACTTTAATTATGTGATATAGCATAGATCAATATTTGATATAGGTGTGGCCAAGTTTTTCCTACATAGCTGGTGAGCACAACTTTTCTTGCTCAAAGTTTATTTATGGAAAGTCTTGGGAGACCTAACTCCATAACTGTTTAGACAGCTTTCTCTGCAAATATTTTTAAAATAATAATAATAATAATAATAAAAAGACATTTAATCAGGTCACAATAATTACAATTGTAGGTGGGTGGTGGAATTTAAGGAAAAGTGAACTAATCTATTACTCCGTATAAGACCAATATTTGATCCCATTTTGAATTCAACTGGATAATTTAATTAGCTGCCTTCATTTATCAATCATCTGCCAGAAAAAAATAAATAAATAAATAAATAAAAAATCCCATTTAATCAAAACCAATTGTAGCAATCAAAATTGCATTAAAGATTGAAAAGGGCTAGAGAGAAAGGCATAGAAATTACTGCTTAGTCTGGCTTTTGGTGACAGCCTATTTTATTCATCAATAATTGTTACCTCATGGACAAATGATGTTAAAAAAAATTGTAAAATAAAAAAGAGAAAGAAAAAAAAATTATATAGTACATATGTAGAGACCATGACGCATAGTGGATGAACTATGCTATATATTCTTCATCTTGCTTTTTGGTACCTTTTGACTACATATCAACTAAGCCTAGGATGTAATCTTTCATGGGAAAATAAGATAATATTTTTTAAATAAAAAAGAAAATAACAGTAGTTGTGCAAACGTAGTGGCGTAATAAGTAATACTCCTTCCTATTTTTATTAAGTGTCGTTTTGAAAAGTTGCACAGTAATTAAGAATTTTTTTTTTTTGCCAATAATAACTCTCATTAATGAGAATAGAGATGGATATTTTGATAAAAGATGGAGACTGAATATGAAAAGACGTAGTGTAATTATTAGCTAGATGAGGGTAATAACGAAAATATATGTACAAAAGATTCAAAACGTTATTTATTTAGTTAATTGTTAATAAAACCAAAATGACACTTAAAAAAAAAGAGGTAGTATTACATTGGCAGAATAGTTTTCAAATTAGTTTATCGAAAAATACACTTGATAGACATTCATTACTTAATGAAAGTTAAACATGGATCATCTTTCTATTGGATTTTGTCGGTTCAATTAAGCTATGAAACCTGGCCCAAATGTAGAAGTTTAGGCACCAATTGGAATTT